TGACGGATGACGGAGGATGGATAATGGATGATGATGATGATGATGATGCTGCTGCTGATGATGATGCTGCTGCTGATGATGATGAAGATGATGATTATGATGATGATGATGATGATGATGATGATGATGATGATGATGATGATGATGATGATGATGATGATGCGCAGATGATGACAATGAGCAGATGATTAGGATGTCTCGAGCGGCTTGCTGGTTTTAGCACTCCTAGGGGGGGAGCCAGGGGGTATCTCACGGCCTCCGTTCGCTCCAGAGTGGCGGGGATGTCGCGAGTTGCTTGCCTGTTCTGGTCGCGAACATCCTCCGTTTTCGGAGCAGATTTTGAGAATCTCTCGTGCGAGGTGCCTCCTAGTGGGGGGCCGCCAGGGGTACCTCACGGCCTCCGTTCGCGCCCAAATTACGGGGATGTGTCGAGCGGTTTGCTTGTTTTGGTCGCCAATTTCCTCCGCTTTCGGAGCAGATTCTGAGGATGTCTCGTGCGAGGCGCTGGTTATCGCACCCCAGGGGGCCCAGATTATGAGGATGTTTCGAGCGGTTTGCTTGTTTTGGTGGCCAGACTCGTGGGCACAGATTCTGCCCAGTATGCCACAGGAGGCTCCAGCAGGCTCCAGCAGGCCCCAGGAGATTACATGAGGTCCCAGGAGGCATCAGGAGGCCACAGGAAGACTCAAGAGGCCACAGGATGTCCCAAGAGGCTCCGGGAGGCCCCAGGAAGCTCCAGGAGGCCTCAGGGAGCCACAGGAGGCCCCAGGAGGCCACAGGGAGCGCCAGGGGGCCCCAGAAGGCAACAGGAGGCCCCGAGAGGCCCAAGAAGCAGGAGGCCTCAGAAGGCAACAGGATAGGCTCCAATTTCATGTTTTTTTTGGTATGCTCCTATAGATTGGGCCTCACCGGGAGCACGAATCCTTCATGGTATACGTATGTTTACATATATTGTCCTTCTCCTGTGTATACAATCGTAAATGTTTTACGTCTGTTCCTATAGCTTGGGCATCCCTGGGGGCACGAGTCCGTAGTGTTTTACATGTGCTCCTATATATATATATATATATATATATAGATTGCCCTTCTCCTGCGGCTCCGATCCGCAATTTTTTCTGTACGTCTGTTCCTATAGATTGGGCCTCTCCTATTGCAAGAATCCTCCCTAAGAGGTCCCTGGAGGCTCCCGGAGGCCACGCGAGGCTCCAGGAGGCCTCAGGAGGCCACTCGAAGCCTCAAGAGGTGCCAAGAGGCTCCTTGAGGCCCCAGGAAGCCCCAGGAGGTTTCAGGAGGCCGCAGGACGCCCCAGGCTCATGCGCAGAGACGCGCTCGTACTACTGAAACTGATTCACACTCCAATTCATTCGCATTTGGATTCATGACCAGACCGTCACAACTCAAACCCGCATACATTCGACAACTCTTGCGCCAAGACACTCACGGCGGACAGGTCCATGCGAATATAGAGCCCGTTTTTTATTGCTTGGGGCATGACGGGCGTCATGGCCCCCGCTCCCCCCCCCCCCCTACTATGACGTAACGCTCCCCCCCACTGCGCTCGGGGCAGTGCCCGCCGTGCGCATTGGGATTCGCGTAGGTGTCCGCGTAGGAATCTGCATAGGTGTCTGGTCCGCAGGCGTCTTCGTCGTCGTCGTCGTCGTCGTCGTCGTCGTCGTCGTCCTCGTCGTCGCTCGTGGTTCATCACTCGTCGTCGTCGTGCGCGCGGACGCGGCTGGAGCCTGTTTTAAGTCCGGGCCGATGACGGCACTCATCTGGGGGGGAGGGGGTCGATGACGTCACGTTTCGCGCCGTCGGCGTCTGGGAATGCTTAGGAATGACGGTGGACGGGTAGCACGAACATGTAGGTGGCGATATGCACCACAACGCCTCTGTACATCACAGTGCCCGCGTGCACCACAGCGCCTGTGTACACCACGCCGCCGATGTAAACCACAGCAGCCGCGTGCAACACAGCGTCAGTTTGTGCCACCGTGCCTGTGGGGACACCAGCTCCTGTGTACACCACAGCGCCTCCGTACACCACCTCAGCCGTGCTCAACACAGCACCAGTGCACACCACAATGCCTGCGTGCATTGCAGGGCCTGTGTACGCCACGGCGCCTGTGTGCGCCACATCAGCCGTGTGCAACACAGCACCATTGTTGTGTATAGAATTTCACAAGGAATCCTTGTCACAAAATGGAGAGCGTGCGGGTTCCAGAGAAAACAATGGAAAACAAATCCTCATGGACAAAGGAGCGCCGCTGGAATCTACGAATCCCCCCGAGTCCGCCCGCATCACCCTAACTCCCACTTGCGTCCAGGAGGTTCCAGCTAACCTGGCCGTCCGAGAACCAAGTGAACCGATTCAATCGACCATTCTGCGGTGCACGCTGAGATGCGCACGTGCGTTTTCACGCCAAGCCGCACGACAGGGGGTACAAAGGAGGTAAATGAGGAGCAGGAGGAGGAGGAGGAGGAGGAGGAGGAGGAGGAGGAGGAGGAGGAGGCGGAGGCGGAGGCGGAGGCGGAGGAGGAGGAGGAGGTGGAGGAGGAGGGAGGAGGGAAACGCATCGCATTCGATTATCATCATTTTCCTGGCGTTGCGTTTAGTTGTCCGCAGCAGATCCTGACGTACACGCTCCTTCTACCTGTCCTCTGCGCGCACGCACTGTGGTGTACACCAGCGCTGCGTTGCACGCGGGTGCTGTGGTGTAGACAGGCGCTGTGGCGTGCACAGACCCTGCGGTGCACGCAAGCACTGTGGTGTACACAGGCGTTGTGTTGCACATGGCTGCTGCGGTGTATGTACACCGGCGCTGTCGTGCTCCCAAGTATTGTGGTATGCACGGGCGGTGCGTTGCACAAGGCTGTTGCGGTGTACGCAAGCGCTGTGGTGCACACGCGCGGTGTGGTGCACGCGAGTGTTGTGGTGTACACAGGCGCAATGGGCAGATCGACACTTATATGCTGCTGGCGTCGTCGTCGTCGCTCGTCGCTCGTCGCGTCGTGCGCGCGGGCGCGGCTGTGGTGCCGGAGCCACACGGCGGGGTGGGCGCGTCACGTCATACCCACCCCTTCCCCCCCCGCCCTCCCCTCCGCCCGTCATTGCCGAACATAAAGAAACGCGTTCATCGATGCACGTATGGGGAGCTCCACGCAGTGAATCATTCTCTGACCGCGCTGGACCCCTCATCATCATCCCTTCCATCCCTCGTCGGTTGTGTTGAATGATGGTGAATGATGGATGGGTATGCTGATGATGAGGATGATGATGCTGATGATGGTGATGACGACGACGACGGGCAGATGATGAGGATGTCTCGAGCGCCTTGCTGGTTTTAGCGCACCTAAGGGGGGGCCGCCAGGGGTATCTCACGGCCTCCGTTCACGCCCATATGGCGGGATTGTCTCAGGCGGTTTGCCTGTTTTGGTCGCGAACGTCTTTCGCTTTCGGAGCAGATTCTGAGGATGGCTCAGGCGAGGCGCCTCCCAACGGGATGCCGCCAGGGGTATCTCACGGCCTCCGTTCGCGCCCAGATTGCGGGGATGTCTCAGGCGGTTTGCCTGTTTTGGTCGCCAACTCCCTCCGCTTTCGGAGCAGATTCTGAGGATGTCTCGTGCGAGGCGCTGGTTATCGCACCCCAGGGGGCCCAGATTATGAGGACGTCTCGAGCGGTTTGCCTGTTTTGGTGACCAGACTCGTTTGCTCTCAGAGCAGATTCTGTGGATTTGGACGAACCCTCTCTCGCTCTTTCCCCCTTTATGGGCGTGCAATCCCCTCCCCCCCCTCCTCCGCACACATCATAGGCAAAGATAGCTGTGTATACGATCAGGGCGGAATGCGTCGACCCCAAACGCCCACTCATCGACGATATGGGCCCCATGGCCCGCCCCGTTCACGAACGTGCGGATTCGCTCTCGGGGTCCGTCCTACCGCCGATCTGTCGGCGAGATGGATCGCCCGTTCAAGGTCGATGCCCCCCCAGTGAACCTGTTCCCCCGCGTCGTTCTTCTCAGAGCAGCTAGCACGATGGCTAAGATCAGCCACGCGCAGAGGGGAGTGGGGGGAGGGGGGATGGCTTCTAAGAAACACCCCTGCTTCTTAGAAGGCGCGGGCCTTCTCAACAGATGTAAGGCGGGTGCCTTCTAAGAAGCAGCCTCCTTCTAAGAAACCCTCCCTCCACCCCCTTGTGCGCGCCGCCAATAAGAGGAGCTCTTAGCCTTCGAGAGGCCAGGACCTTACACGAGACCCTGATCATGGCCGAAGCCCAGCATCTGCCGCTCTGGGCGGCTCCCGGCGGTATACTCCAGCCCGGGGATGTTTTCCGGCAGCCGCGCCTCGCCGAGAGCGCTCCTGGGGGTGCCTGAATCGCCCCGAACGGCCGCCGAAGATCAGAGATGTGACACGAACCCCCATTCGGGGGCGGCAAAGAGGGGGGTGATGACTAGGGGTGGGTGGGTATCATGGTGGGGGCCATGATATCTCCCCAGATTTCATCGCGCCTCCTCTTATTTCATACGTCCCCGGTCCCCCCCCAAGGACCGCGCAGTGGCCATGATTTGCGCCTCCCCCTCTTGGACGCCCCTCGACCCTTCGCCCCCGGGCCCTCCGTCCTCGACACGAGGCTCGATCCCTGAACCTCCCTCCTTGCTCGGAGCATCGAGCCTCGATCGTCGATCCTCTGACCCCCCCCAGTTGTTGCCCCTCTGATCGCCCCTGCTCCCCCGAGTTGTTGCCCCTCCTTCCCCTCTGATGCACCTGATTTCTATGCGTCTCGAACGCATGCTTTACCACCACAGTAATTATCTTGGCGCCACGGCGCCACCGCTCCGTTCCCAGAGTGACCGCGCCCCAGCGCGCACGCGAGCGTCCGTCCGTCCGTCCGTTCGGCCTCGCGAGGGGGTGCACTGGAGGCCCTCTGGGCCACCCCGAGAATCCTAGGGGGCACCTTGGGCCAGGGGCACTTCTGGCTGCATCCGGTCCGTGCTCCCCCGAGGAGCTGCCCCGCAGCTCCTCGCAGGCATCGCGGGCCGCCCCCCCGGCGGCCGCCGCGGCGGCGCCCTGGCCCCCGGGCGGTGGGGCGGCCGCGGCGGCCCCGGCGGCACCGCCGCCAGGCTTCGCGGCCTGGCTGGCGTGGGAGGTGCGCCGCGATGGGGGGGGCAGCGTCGCCCCCTCCCCCGCCCCCGACCCCCCGCCGCCCTGCCCCCTGCCTCCCCAGCCCCTTTTCTCCCTGCCTCCCCCCACCCGCTCCCTTCTCCCCCCTGCCTCCCTCTCCCTCCCCCTCCAGGCCTCCCCCTCCTCTCCCCCCTCCTCTGCCGCAGCCTCCTTCACGGCCTCCCCTGCGTCGCGGCGCGAAGGCGTCCGCCGCTCCAGGGAAGGTGCAGTGGCGCAGCCCACATGTGCCCGCCCCGCTCATTTCGGCATACCTTCACACACTTCGTGGCCCCAGGAACTCCACCGAAGGTGCCGGTGGCGCATCTCGCATACGCCCGCCCCATCCATTTCGGTACGCCCCTCTCGCGTTCCCCCCCCCGTCCTCCCTTGCTCCCTCTCCCTCCCTGCCCTCTTCCCGGCCTACTCAGCGTGAAAGCCCCCTCCTTCTCTTCCCTCCCTCCCGCAGGTCCGTACAGTCGGACCGAGGTACAACATCGAAGTCGGTTTGGGGAGGGTACCTTAGGATTCTTCGTGTTTGTTGGATGCTCTAGTGCATCCAGGGGAGGGTACCCTTGGATGTTCTGTTTGTTTTGGCCGACAGAGGGTCTCATGTTCTTGAGGAATGTTCTTGTGGCCTAGGTCCGCCTGTATGCTACAGAAAGCACTGGGGGTATCTTAATCGCTTCATGAGGTCGCAAGGAGGACTATGGCGAGCAGGAGGAGGAGGACGAGGAGGAGGAGGAGGAACAAAAGAAGGGGTGCGACGAGAAGGTAGATGATGACGAGGAGGATGAGGAGGAACACGTCGAGGAGGACTTGCGTCAGGAGGGTGGTGAGGATTCGTATGAGGAGGGGGGAGGAGGAGTGATATGAGGATGTATATGCGGCGGATGAGGAGGAGGAGGAGGAGGACGAGGAGGAAGATGAGGATGACGAGGAGGAGGAGGAGGAGGAGGATTATGAAGACCAGGACGAGGAGGATAAGGAGGAGGAGGAAGAGGAGGAGGGGGAGGAGCAGATGCTCTCTACCACTTCGTTGTTCTCACCCTCGTCCACCGCTGTCGCCTCATTTTTTTTCTCACCTTTCCCTAATGAGCCCCCCTCCCACCCGGGTGGGAGGGGCAGGACAGGTGTGCACGGCGACAGACATCGTCTTTTACAGCCGTTAGCAGCAGGAGGTGATGGAGGAGGAGGAGCAGGAGGCGGAGGAGGAGCTCGACGACGACGCCGAATGCGCAGGCGGATCACAGGAGCATGTGCGAACACACCGAGCCGCTTAGGCCACAACATGTTGTTTGGGGATGCTGGACTAGCTATACTTTGGAGGTCCTTCCTGGAGCCCGGAGAGGGCTCCCAGGGACCGAAAATGCCAACAGGCTCTCCGTCGTGTTTTTCACGACGCCAGCGGGGTCTGGGACAGGACCCGCTTCCCCCACGACACTCCTCCCCTCCTTCCACGAGGTGCGGAGCGGGCTGCGACCCGACAGTCAGGCGCTGGCGGAGAGGTCGGTGCCGCCCAGCCACTTGCTGGAGGTGGCGCAGGTGCCGCGCCGCCTCGAGAAGCTGCTGGGTTTCGGCTTCCTCTTCTGCCTGGACATCTCAGGGGCACCGTCAGGGGTTGGGGCAGGCTGCGGCCTAGGGGGGGGGTAAAACGACCCGCAATGCTCGCCCATTCGTTCGCCGACAGAGGCCCGATAGCCCAACCCGCCCAGAAGCCTGCAGATTTTCGCTATCGCGGGCCTGTCGCCGATCTATCGGCGATGTATCGCTGGTTCCAGGTTGACAGGTTGATGTTCCCTCCCTGGGCTGGTCCCCCCCCGACGGTGCCCCTCAGGACATCCTGCTGCACGAGCTGAGCTTCACGCCTCTGTCGGCGCTCCGGGCATGCCTGCGCTTCCTGGCCCGCAAGCGCCTGCGCACCACGGAGCTCGAAGAAGAGCAAGCTGCACCAGCAGGAGATTGTTTTTTTAGGGTCCAGCGATCACCCAGGTTATCGGGCTTGCCCCTCCTCCCCACCCCCCGGATAACCTAAACACTTGCCGGTTGCGCAAGCCCAGGGTGGGGGGGCGCGGGCATATGCAGGGCTGCCCACAGCGCGAAGGTTAGGTTATCGGCCGGCCCCCTCCCCCCCCACCGTGGTAACCTGGGTTATCGCCGATTCGGAAAAAACGGTCTCCTGCACCAGCAGAAGCTTCCGAAGGTCCGCGCGGATTTCTGGGATCTGTGCGGGACGCCCTGGCGGCGCCACCCCTGGCGCGCTCCGCTCGCCTGGGAGGGGGGCCCGGCGCCGAAACTGAGAAAGCCGCGCGGGCCTTCGACAGCTCGTTTCCCCTCCGACAGGTGAGGCTATGAGACTCGAGCGGCGGCAAGCCCCGGTGGGGCAGTGAGAAGGGGCGGGCCTTCGCATAAGGCTCGGACGGCCTCGGGCCTTTTTTGAAAAGTTTGCTGCGCCTTCCCAGAGATGCGAGACACTTCTCAGAAGGCTGGAGGGCTTCGGAGAAGCTTTGCCGCGTTCTGAGAAGGCCTGCCCCTTCTCGCTTCCCCTCTGGGCGCGCCGCCGATCAAGGAGTAGTGCTCCCGACCCGGCTCGCCTTGCACACCCCACGTGCCGCTGACGCCAGCCCCACATGATGTCAGTGCTTTTTGGGGGTGCAGCCTCGCGTTCTCGGGTGGGGATCGCTCGAAGCGGGACGGTGTTGCACTGCAGCTAGCTCTCCCAGGAGCAGTGCGACCTGCTGCGGGTGTCGCTGCTCCTGCTGAACGTGGCGCTCGTCCATGTGCTCTTCGACACTTCCTGGGTGTACCATTTCATCCGGGGCCAGTCGTTCCTGAAGCTCTACGTCTCATTTAACATGCTTGAGATGTTCGAGCGTTGGTGCCGTTCGGTCGGGGTGGACCTCATCAACCTGCTCATGACGTCCATGCGGGACCCGTGGTTCCGGCTCCTGAGGACGTTTGCCCTGACGCTGTTCTGCTGCCTGGTGTTCGGTGGCCTCCAAACAGTGCGGTAACCACTCCGTCTGGTGAGTCTTCGGGGATCGGGGCTGGCCGCACGGTTTTGGGACTTGGGTCGTTCGCCGAGGATGTCTCTGGCGACTGAGGCCTCTGAGATATCAAGAACGTGCAGTGACGCACTGTGCGGCGAGGTCGTTGGGGATTCTGAGGTCACCGCACGGTCTGTCACCGCATCGGTTCGGGACCCCCAAGGTGCACACGACGATGCATCTGCTGCGCGTGCTGCTCTATCACGTGGCCATTAACACCTCGTCCAGCGCTGTACTGCTGATCATCGTGACGAACAGCGCCGGCGAGGTGAAGTCGACGGTTTTCAAGCGCTACAAGAGCGACAACTTGTTTCCGATCATCACCAGCGACATCGTGGAGCGCTTCTACCTCGTGCTGGACATCGTGTGCCTCCTGGTGCGCCTGGCGGTCTCTCCCCACGCGCAGATGCAGGGGGTCACCTTCTGGATATCACTGGCTTAAAGCGTATTCCTGTCCTTCTGTTTGGCAGCGCCTTGTCTCGGTGTCGATCATATTATCTTCCTTCGATATCTGAGGTGACATCCCTAAGTTTGCAATCCGCCTGGGCTTGTCATTCTTACACTCCTTTTTGGGCTTAGGCAGGGCCCTGCTTTTTCGGGCGGTTCCTCAGATTTAGGTCGTGGGACTTATTCGTGCCCGAGGCTCGCCGTGGCCAGAACAACGCCTTCGTTCCGTAGTCAGCGCCCCTTGTAGTAGCACGGTGATTGAGCTCTACTCTTGTCAGGATCGCCCTGCTCGTGCTCCTGGAACTGGGCACCGACTGGCTGAAGTTCTGCCTCATCATGAAGTTCAGCGAGCTTCCCGCCTCCACGCTGGATCAGTACAGGGAGGCGACTTGTCGTCGTCGTCGTCGTCGTCGTCGCCGTCGTCGTCGTCGTGATATAGGCATGAACATTCGACGGCCCGCGCGTATTTCTCGGATCGGCGCTTGACCCCCCTTCGGCGCTCCGGCGCCGCCACTGGCGCGACCCGCGCGCTGGGGGAGGGGGTGCCAGCGCGGATCCGAGAAACCCGCGTAGACTTCCGACGTTTTTAGGCTTCAATGTATTCGTTTCTTCTTCTGCCACGTCCTGGGTGTTGCCAAAGGGGTCCCTGGCCCAAGGTGTCTGGGAAGGCCCATGTGGCCTCCAGAGCATCCCCCACGAGGCTCAGAGGGCACCAGGGGCTCCAAAATGGCGCGACAAACAGGAGACACCTAGGGCCAGGACCACTCCTACCAACACCCAACCCCTCGACCCCTACCTGGGGCCCACTCCTGTGAGATGCTGGTTCTGGGAACCTTCCTGGGTCTACTCGCTCCACTCATGCGCCGATGCTGCGTCGAACGTCCGTCGACTCGAGTCGGCCTTAAGTCGAACCTGCGTGGAGCTCGAGTCGAACGTGTTGGGCCAGGACCACTCCTATGACGAACGATCAACACCCATAGGGGCGGTCGGAGGGAGGATGACTGGCTATGGGTATGGGCGCGGGTTGTCGGCCGCGGGGAGGCTCCCATTCGAGCGGGGACCCCCATCCGACAACACGCACCCATAGCCGCCTCCGCCCCCCCCTGGATGTGTGTATGTGTGTGTGGATGTGTTGTTCGGTCGTCATCCCAGCAACTCGGCGAAACGCCCGGGGTGGAAGCCAGCGGGGGCGGGCCTCCTCAGAAGCCTCAGAAGGCATCCAGCCCCCCCAAAGAATTTTTCGAAGCCCTCCCCGACCACGCCAACGCGTTCTCGGAAGGCGCGAGGGCGTTTGCGAAGCCCCGCCGCCTTCTGAGAAGGCCTCCTCCCTGTCACTTTCCCACCCGCGGCGCGCCGCCGAGCGGCGCCCGAGAGCCCGCTCCGCGCTGGTTCCCGCCCGGGCCTCTGGGGGCCCTTGCCCCCGAGCCCGCCTCCCGAGCCGCGCCCCCGCCGCGGCGGTGCGGGCCCGCCTGGCACCGCCCAGTGCACGCGTCCGAGCCGACGCCGCCCCTGACCCCGGACCTCGATCCTCCTCGATCCTCGGTCCTCGGTCCTCGATCCGCCTCGATCCTCGACCCTGTGCCTTGGCCCTCCTTCCCCTCCTCCCTCCCTCCTCCCTCCCTCCTCCCTCCTCCCTCCTCCTCCTCCCTCCTCCTCCTCCTCCTCCTCTCTCCTCCTCCTCCTCCCTCCTCCTCATCCTCCTCCTCATCCTCCCCCTCCTCCTCCTCCTCCTCCTCCTCCCTCCCTCCCTCCCTCCCCCTCCCTCCCTCCTTCCCTTCTCCCTGCTCCCTCTGCCCGTCCTCCTTCCCCTGGCCCCCGACCCGGGGTCCTCGACTCCCTTCGACCCTCGAGACCCGTGAGGTGCTGGTCGCCGACGTGCTGCTGTGCCGCTCCGCCCGGCTGCCGAACGCGCCCCGCCCCGTCGGCCTCGGCGCGGGCAGTGTCCCGAGCTCCCTGGCGATCCGGGTCCCATCGCCAGAATCGGCGCTGTCAGTGATCATGCTATCACAATTCGTACGCGTAGCCCTTTCCATCTCGGGTGCCAACATCATTACTACCATTGGCTCGCACAATCGTGGCCATGCTCTTTGCTGTGCTGGTGCTCGCCATGTATCATCAAAGGACGGAGCTGCCGCCCGGGCTCCCAGGCCCCGCAGGTCCCCCCCTTCCATGATCTCCTTCCCCCCCGCTTCCTGCCCCGTTGCCTGATGGCCTCCCCGAGCCACTGGCAGAGGAGGATCGGCGGCAAACGAGGGGGGGAAGTGAGAAGGAGCAGGCCCCCCCAGAAGGCAGCGGGACTTCCCAGAAGCCTTCGCGCCTTACGAGACGCTCTCTGTGTCTTCGGGTAAAGGTCAGAACACTTCTCAGAAGACTGGGTGACTTCCGAGCCTTCTGAGCAGGCCCGCCTCCGTTCCCCCCCCCCCCCAGGCGCGCCGCTAAAATGTGTCAATGTGGCCACAGCCACCGCTGCGAAGTCGTGCCCTGGGATCCCGAGGAGCGGTGGAGGTGGAGATCTTACCGCCCGCGCTGGCGGGGCAGACATCCGCATACATCTGCCGCTCCTCGCGTGCCCAGGACACGGCCCCGCGGCAGTGCACGCGGGCAGATCCTGGCCGCGCACGGGGGCATCGTCAGCGGGGGGATGCGTATGGGCCCAGGGGGGCGAATCGACCCCCAACGCACGGACATGCTCGGAGGTTTTCAAAGATGCTTCTCGAACAGCCTCGAACGTGGTTTTTAAACATACGAGTGTGGTTTTCTCGAATGTTTTCGAGGCCCGGGGCGGTTTGCATCAGCTGCGCCTCGTCGAGGGCGTTCCGGGGATCTTTGGGATCGTCCGAAAGGCTGCTGGAGAGGAGAGCCGAGTTGTGGCCAGAATGCCAGGGGGAAACGTTAGGGAGGGGGGGATCTGCTCACGGGGTATGCATCGACCCGCAATCGCGCACTCATCGCCGCTCGGAGCCCGACAGCCCGCGCCGCCCAGGAACGTGCGGCTTCGCCATCGGGGGCCTGTCGCCGATGCATTGTCGATGTATCGCCGACTCCAGATGGACGTTTCCCTCCCTGAGCCGGTGCCCCCTCCGAACGTTCCCCTTGGCATCGCTCGGACGTGCGCACGCCCCCTCGGCGGGGACCACCGAGGAGCATCCCGAATCTCAGAGGCGACGGTAGGGGCGAATAGCCCAGGGGAGAGCAATACATGTATTCAGGTGCGCCGATGATCCATGTCTTCGAAAAGGCTCCCGGGCGAATACGTGCAATGCCCGCCCCTGGGCCATTCGCCCCGATCGTCGCCCCCGAGGATCCTCGAGCAACAAGACACGCTCGAGATCGAAACATGCACGGGGGAGGGACGCCAAGCGATGGCCCCCCGCAGGCGATGTGCGGCGTCCACTCCTTCAGCCACGCGCCAGCGCGGCGCATCGGCTTCAGCGGCGTGCCCCTCCTCGGGGGCCGGCCGGGGGGGCTCCCCTGGCCCACGGGCGTCCCGGGCCTTCTCCTCGCGCCACCTCTCACGGCCCCTGCTCGGGAGCAGGGGGGGACCTGGACGGTGTTCTGGCGATTCCGTGGGCCGTTCTCGTCTCGACCTCGTCTTGCGGAGGACCGCACGGAGGTGTCGAGGCCCGAGGGCCAGAGGTTGATCAATTTCCTACCCTGACGTCGATTAGCGAATTGGCTGTTTTCGGTTCGCGAGAGGGCGTCGCGGCCGTCATTTTTGCGGGTCCAGGTTCGTCGGTTTCCCAGGCCGTTTTCACTCAAGGGAGGTTTACTAAAGGGAGGTTTGTCCACCGCCGAGAGGATTGCTTTCGGGCGCGTTCGTCGGCTCTCCGCGGGCTGTCGGTCTCGGGGTGCCCATCCGGCAGCAGCGCCTCGCCGCGAGCGCATGCCAGTGGGGTGTCCGCAGCGTCCCGAGTGGCGGCCGGAGGCCCGAGCGGCGGCCTGGGAACACGTGTGGATCGAGCGTTGGCGAAGCGTCCTGGTTCCCCTAGAGGCCCATTAGGATGTTCCAACCTGCTTTAGCCTTGATCACCATAAAGAATTTCGAGCACCAGGAAAATACCCAACAACTCGAGGGTTTTCACGTGTCGGGCCCTGGGAGGCGCTGTTTCGACACTCTTTCGACACTCTTTCGACACTTTTCTGGGTGCTCGAAATTATTTTTGGGATGTGGTCCTTAAGTGCGATGGGGGCAGCACAAGGCTAAGAAGCTTCTGTGGTCTGCACGAAATGTTCTTAGAGCATTTCTGGCTGGGGCTGTCTTGTTTTAAGACATCGGGTTGATGTTTGGGTTCGAAGAACATTTCGCGGTAGGCCTCTAGGAATGTTGGGACGGTCGGTCCCTGCTCAAGTGGACGAAACAAATGGGGGCGAATAATGACAGCAGTCCTGTTTATTTTCGATGGGATTCGATGTTGGCGTCTGCGCGGGAGACGTCCATTTGGTGCAGAAGTCGCCCGCGCCACATCGCGTGCTGTCGGTTTTGGCCTACGTTCGCTGTTGGACATCGTTTCGATTTTTCCAAACCATCTTCTGGTGGGATCTCGTTTTGAATCTGCAGCGCCCTTGCGTCCCACCTCTTCATCCCTTCCCCTTCTCAGTACGGCCTCCCCGTCGCACCCCCGAGTGTGTGTGTGTGTGTAGTGCGGGCCGGGCGTTTCGCCTGAGACTCCGTCACTATTTACACCCTGAAGCTTGAAACTTGCAACAGTTTTCAGGATGGAGGGCGGTTCAGTTTGAACATGTGTCTTTCGTCCCAGCGCCGCGCATATTCATCTTACAAGTTTGCAGCAGTTTGGAGGATGAGAGTGGCTCCTCAGAAAAATGTTGTTTTCGCCCTAGCGCCGCGCGTTGATTGTCAGAAGTTGAAGCCCCAGAAACGGTGCTATGGTATGTGTTATGATTGCTCGGACGCAGCGGTCACGTTGATACGCGGTGTTGAAGTTCCAAGAACCGTGTTCTGACGCGAAGCAGTCACGTTGACTCGCAGCGATGAAAGCCAAGGAATGGTGTTCTGGCACGATCTGGGATTCCCAGACGGTTGTTTTTCGATGGGGCACTTCCCGTAATCAACATTTATTCTTGTAGGGACTTATGAATGAAGGGAGATGTCAGACAGTTTTTTTTGAATTGTTTCGCTGAATCCGCCAGCCCATATCTAATGGCCTTCGACCCATCCCGCCACCGTGCCTGGGCGGTGGGTCTTTGGCCTCTTGGATGTTCGTCGAGATCTCGTCGAGGCCTGTCGGGGTCTCCTGGAGGCTGTTCTGGGGCTTCTTAGGGCCGCTTTTGGGCCTCTTGGGGGCCTCTTGGGGCCTCGTGGGAGCCGAGCCTCCTGGGAGCCTCTTGGGGCCTCCTGGTTGCCTCTTGGCGCGGAAGTCTAGGATTTTCGGCACGTGTTCCCCCTTTTGGCCCTCTTGGGGTCGTCTTGGCGCCCTCTTTGGCCGCCTTGGGCGCCTCTTGGTTGGGGCCCTCTTGGGGGGCTCTGGGGGCGTCTTAGGGCGGTCTTTGATGCCTCTCGAGGCGTCTTGGAGCGTCAGAAGCTCGAAAAGTAGAGAGCCCTGAACATAAAGAAACACCCAAGGAAATCATGCATTTTGGCCTTTCGGGGCCCTCTGGGGAAGGCTCTTGGAGGCCTCGTGGGACGTCTTGGGCGCTTTTTCGACCGACTGGAGGCCATCTTGGGCGTCTTGGACCGATCGGTCAGCGATTTGGAGCCCTCTTGGACCGTCGTGGGGACCCCTTGGGGTCGGGAAGACCGCCACGGGGAGTTCTGGCGTCCTCGAGCCCACGTTGCCGGATTCATTTTCGCCTGGGGATCCTGAAGGGCGGCCCTGCGCGCGCGCGAAACCAATTCACGGAGATCGTAACCCACCTCTTGTCCGTTGGGCTGGCGAGTTGCAGCATCGTCGATGAGTCTTTGGTTTGCACCGGACGGGTCTTCTTCCTCCTTCTCCCGCTTCCCCCTTTCCTTCCTCCTGCACGCCATCCTTCTCATCGGCACCATCCTCATCAGTATCGTCAGCAACACCATCATCATCATCATCATCATCATCATCATCATCATCATCATCATCATCATCATCATGATTTAGGCGTTCCATTCCCCGTTCATCAGCCCCCATTCTGTGTTCGGGTCATTCAGTTATTTTGACCCCCAGGAACAAGAATTACCAAATTCGTTCCAGAAGCATATAGTGACATCAACGCTGAAAATCGATAGGAATTCAGTAAATGAGGGAATAATCGTTTGCGCAATGCTGAATCCTATTGAGTTTGAAGCGGGAATTTGTTCGCGAAAAATTCAATTTAGTTTTGCACTCAAAAGAAAACGCATGCTGCTGAAATCGCGCTAGCATGGTCAAATTGTAGTGTGTTTTGTGCGTGTTGCTGCTGCGATGCTGCTGTGATTTGGTTGTGCTTCTGCTGTGATTTTGTTGTGTTTCAATGTAGGTGTGATTTGCGTGCTTGTCATGGGTGGCATGTGGTGTGGTGTGGAATCGCCGAGGGACACGGTAACGCCCTTGGACCCGGTGGAATTCAATTTCGAACGGGGGTTATGAATCGACGCGGTGTCGAATTTTTTGGCGCGCGCCGACGCCGCGCGAACCCACCGTGCTCGCGCTTCGCGCTTCGCGGTCTGGGCCACAGCGGCTGCCGTTCTCCAGGCGGGCGGCCCGAGGGCGCAGGGTCGCGAAGATCGCCGAGCGTCGCGCATCGCGGGGCGCGCTGTTCGCAGTTGGGCGACGCAGGGTCCCGGCTTCGTCTTACGCCGGGCCCCGCTTCCCGGCAGAGTCGGCGCGCTCCGTGGCCAAATCGGGCCGCATTGGCTTCTTGGTTCAGTGGTGCCTCCTCCGATCCGTGGATCTGGCGCCAAGGCGCCATGTCCATGGATCCCCAATCCATGTCAGCGTCTGCGGCGGGCCTCTGGAAAGCCGTCCCTGCTCCGGAGGAGGCTCAGGAACAACTGCCCAGAAGGCTGGAGGCGTTCCGAGCCCTCTGGGCAGGCCCGCGCCCGTTGCTGTCTTCGGGAGCGAGAGAAGGGCACGTACGCACATGAACCCACGCTGGTTTCGACAGTGATTAGCATTGCGCGAGCATTCGTGTCACGAGGACGGTCTCGCGGTCTGGGGGGCCGTATTTGTGTACGTGGTTGGGCTCGCAGGTCCTTAGTGGGCCCCCTACTTCCCCCTGAGCTCGCCGCCGAGTTGGGCCAGGGCCACCCCTGGCAGCGCCCGGCCCTCACGTCGATGATCGTGCTGCACCTGGCCACGCTCCTGCGCTCGCCCTGCGCGCTGAGGCTGCGATGGCCCGCGGTGGCCGGGCTGGCGGGGTGCGTGCTGCTGCTGGCGTTCCTGGCCAAGGCGGGCCGCGCAGTCCTGAAGCTATGGCACCCTCTCGCTGTGGAACAAGCCGGGACGGACGGTTTTTTGCTCTAGACAGAATTTGTTTTGAGCGTCAGTTAATGATTCTGAAAACATGGTTTTGCTCTCCCCCAGGGCTGATCAATAGACTTCGCGGGGCGCGGAACAGTTTTTGACATAACGCGCGCCAGGGTGTTGTCGCGGGCACTGCCGAGGGGATCGTGTAACATTGTACCCCCATGCACGGAAGCCTCTAAGCGATTGATTTGCGCATAGAAGTTGTTGAGGGATCGTTTACATCCGAGGCGAAGTTTTTCCCCTTCTGAGGCAGATGAGTGACGTGCCATAGTCGTCGTAGTCGTCGTCGTCGTCGTCGTTGCCGTCAGAGGTCGTCGTCGTCGTCGTCATCGTCGTCGTCCTCGGTCGTCGGTCGTTCGGTCTTCCGTTGTCATCGTCGTTCGTCGTTCGGCCTCGTTGTCGTCGTCGCCGTCGTCGTCGTCGTCGTCGTCAACCACAGCGGGCCCACGAAGCACCCCTCTCCCCATGAGGTATCTGCAGTGCGTCGTCGCGTCGTCGTTTTTCGTCGTCGACGACAGAGGGCCTACGCGGCCCCCCCAATGGGGCATCCGCAGCTCGTCGTCGTCGTCGTCGTCGTCGTCGTCGTCGTCGTCGTCGTCGTCGTCGTCCTTGTCGTCGTGGCCGTCGACAGCTTACAGCGGGAATGCGCAGCACACACGCCCGTTTCGGTACACCCCTCACGCTTTTCGTGGCTCCATAGGGAGCTCCAGCGAGTGGCCCCTGTGGCGCAGGTCGCATGTTGGCGTTACGCCCGTTTCGGCGCACTCCTCGCACGATTCGTGGCTCCATAGGGTGCTCCACCGGGTGCCTCAGTGGCGAAGTTTACATGTGGGCGTCACGCCCGTTCCGGCACAGCCTTCACACGTTTGGGGGCCCCCTTGGCAGCTCCACCGAGTGCTTCCTTGGCGCAGTTCGCATGCGGTTCCCAACCTATTTCGGAGCATTTTTGCACACGCTTCGTGGCCCTATGGGGAGCTCCACCGAGTGCCCCCGTGGAGCAGTTCGCATGTGGGCGTCACGCCCGTTTTGGCACACCCCTCGCTTTTTTCGCGACCCCATAGGAAGGTTCCTTCTGAGGCCCTGGCGGCGTAATTCGCATGTGGGCGTCAGGCCCGTTTCGACACATCGACACACCCCTCACACGGTTCGTGGACCCCATAGGAAACCCAACCGAGTGGTTCTGTGGCGCAGTTCTCACGTGGGCGTCACGCCCGCTTCGGCACAGCACTTACTCGTGCCGTGGCCCCATAGGGAGCTCCAGCGAGTGCCCCCTGCGGCGCAGTTCGCATGTGGACGTCACGCCCGTTTCGGCACACACTTCCACGTTTCGTGGCCCCATAGGGGGCTCCACTGAGTGTCCCCCGTGGCGCAGTTCGCTTGTGGGCGTCCCCGTTTCGGCATACCCCTCACACGTTTCATGGCCCTATGGTGAGCTCCACCGAGTGCTTCCGTGGCACAGTTCGCATGCGGTTCCCCACCGATTTCGGCGCTTTCCTGACACGATCCGTGGCCCTGTAGGGGACTTCGCCGAGTGCCCCCGTGCCGCAGTTCGCATGTGGGCGTCACGCCCGCTTCGGCACACCCATCACACGTTTCGTGGCCCCATGGGGGGCTCCACCGAGTGCTTCTGTAGGGCGCAGTTCTCACGTCGGCGTCACGCTTGCTTCGGCGCAGCCCTCACACGTTTCGTAGCCCCATAGGGAGTTCCACCGAGTGCTTCCATGGCGCAATTCGCATGCGCTCCCCCACCCATTTCGGCACATTCCACCATCACGAGGGCTTCACTGAGTGCCTCCGTGGCGAAGTTTGCATGTGGGCGTCACGCCCGTTTCGGCATACTCACACACAAGAGCGGTAGGTCGGCCAGCGGGTATCAAGTTTGCCCCCCAGGCCTCGAAGAAGAAATATCGACAAAAGCATGAATTTCGGGAGGTCCTCGCGTATTTCTTTGGGTACGCCCTGGGCCCTCCTGGCGCCAGAGAGCGGGGTCCAGCGCCGATCCAAGAGTTGAGTTTTTGTTTGCACAAGAAAATCACCTCGCCGCGTGTTCTACGACGACGACGTTTCGGATACGACTACGACGCCGACGACTACCTAATGGCCTGCATCCAATCCCGTCACCGTGCCTGTGTTGTGGGTCATAGTTCTCAGGGATGCGTCTTGGGGTCTCTTCGGAGCGCTCTAAGAGGGACTCTTGACAGCAGTTTTGGGGCCTCTTGGGAACCTCGGTGGGGCCTCCTTGGGGCCTCTTGGGGCCTCTTCGCCTCTTTGGGGGTTCTTGGGGACCTCTTGGGGCTTCCTGAGAGCCTTTCGGGGCCGAGGGCTCGAAATGTCGTTCGAGTTCCCCACCTGGGCCCGCTCTTTCCTGGGCGCCTCTTGGACCTTCTTGAGACCGACTTGGGCCGTCTTGGGGCCTTCTTGGGGCCCTCTTGGGGCCCTCTTGGGGCTCTCTTGGGGCCCTCTGGGGCCGTCGTGGGGTGATCTTGGGGTCCTTTCGGGCCGTCTGGGAGCGTCGGGAAGCCGAAAAGGCGAGAACACCAACAACCTTCGAACACCCATGGGGAATCAATGATTTGGGCCTCTTGGGAGGCCTCTTGGAGGCTTCTTGGGGGCGTCTTGGAGGCCTCTTGGGCCATCTAGGGGCCATCTTGAGCGTCTTGGAGCGATCGTTCGACGACTCGGGGTCCTCTTGGACCGTCTTCGGGGCCTCTTGGTGCCCTCTTGGTCCGGGGCCTCCTTGGCTCCGAAAAATTCAACCATGCGAGAAAATGCCAGGAACCCCAGGGGGCCCCTCGAGAAGCCCAAGAAGATTTGGTACTTTGGGGTCTGGGCCACTGTAAGACGTCCCAGGAGTGAGGATTGACGCTTGGAGGATTAGGGAAAAGGACCTGAGGACACGCCCACTCCGGGCCCAGAGGCACCGTGGCGGATGACGACATCTACGATGACGACGCCGTCTACGATGCCGACGAACTCACCATCTTCGACGACGGCGACGACGACACCGTCGACGACGGCATATTCGACGCGCCATCTGCGACGACGACATCCACGACGACGAAAGCTACGACGGCGGCGACTGGAGGTCCTGCTGGGCCTGTGCCTCCTCGGCTTCGCCGCGCGCAGGCGCCAGACCATCAGGCGGGGCCTGGAGCTCTTCGGGCGGGTCGCCCGACGCCGGAATCTAGACGCCTCCGCCGCCCCTGGCCAGGCTCGCCCCTGGACGCAGGATCGGTGCACCTGTCCCCCCTGGCCAGGCCCAGAGGAGGGCCGTGCACACCGCTCCAGGGCCCAGGACGGGTTCGGCCAGGGGCGGTGGATCGGTCCAGCCATCCGCCGATCTGATTCCTCGACCCCAGAGCTCTCGACCTCTTCCTCGGGGGTAGCTTGTGGGCCAGGATACTTTTTTGATGGTCCCAGGGCCCGATGGCGGGAGCCAGAGGCAGGAAACATAGGGAACACAAAGGCGCAAGAGTCGAAACAATCACACCGTCGGACATCTGAGCGACGGAAGAAGAAGGGGTCGGCTGCGCGGGCATCCGCTCGTAAGCTGCCCGCGTGAGGCTGCGCGTAAGCGCCCTCTTTTCCAATGCAGCGTGCAGCGCTAGCGGCCCGCGTAAGCCACCGCGTAAGGTCGCCATGCCATCTCGCGTAGGACCCCTGTCTTCTTCTCTTCGGCGCCCATATAGGGATACAGATCTCGCTGCCCCAGGTCAAGGCCCTGTGAGCCTAGCGGTCGAGGCGGCCGGCGCAGCTGAGCCGCACGCGCGCGCCGAGTGCCGCGCGCCGCGTGCGCGAGCGAGCCAGCGCAGGGCCGGCTGGCCGCTCTCGTCATGTCTCCAGTGGTCTGGCGTTTCGTAATGGGGGCGTTAAGCAGGGGGGTGAAAGGCTCAGGGGGGGTGGGCAATTCTGGGATCGAGGCTTGAAGTTTTGGGGCTTTTTCGACGGTTCTCGGCGGGGGGGTGGTTGTCTAGCTCCAGGACTTTATCCAGCAGCTGCGCCTCGCTGGCAGCGTTCCAGGGGTGCGAGGGCCGCCAGAAAGCCGGGGATGGCCCGAAAGCCAGGGGGGCAACGTTAGGGGGGGATAGGCTCAGGGAGGGATGCATCGACCTTCAATAGCCCAATACTCGCCCATAGCCTGCCCCACCCAGGAATGTGCGGCTTCGCTATCGGGGGCTCTATCGCCGATCCATCGGTGATGTATGGCCGATTCCAGCTCGATGTCGCCCCCCCCCTGAACCAGTACCTCCTCCCAACTCCGCCCCTCAAGGAGAGGGGCCTCAGTGAGCAACGTTTGGGTCCAACTTGGGACCCCCCTGTGCCGTGGGGATGCCCCCGGTTGTTGCCCCCCGTGGGGCAACGCCCACGAGGTGGGGGAGGAGGAGAGGGGCAGGGGGGGGAAGAGGCGGGAGCGCAGGCGGTCGATGGTGTCGGTTGGCCACGCGGGGAGCGGGTCTTGAGGGTCGTGGCCGCTCTCGGGCTGTCGGCCGGGGGCCCTCCGCGGGCCCCAGGGCTGGCCAAGCATGGCTCGGGATGTAGAGTCGGTCCTGGTGGAAGCGGCCAGGGTCCAGGACTTGTCTCGGGCCGGTTTCTGTATGCCAAGTGGTGATGGTGGCGGTGGCGATGGTGGTGGTGGTGGTGTTGATGATGAGGAGGATGAGGATGACGGTGAGGAGGAGGGTGGTGAGGATGAGGACGAGGATGAGGGGTATACGAACTTGAACGATCATGAGGACGCTAATGAGGAGCTCGAGGAGGTCGAGGATGATGCTGCTGCTGTTCAGGCGGAGGATGACGATGATGATGCTGATGATACTGATGATGAGGATGAGGATGAGGATGATGATGATGCTGATGATGACTCGATGTTGATGATGACGATGGTGAAGCTGATGATGAGTATTAGGATGCTGCTGATGATGCTGATCTTGATGGTGGTGCTGTTGGTGATGATGCTGATGATGATGATGATGACGATGATGATGATGATGATGATGATGCCGATGATGATTATGATGATAATGACGATGATGATGATGATGATAATGACGACGATGATGATGATGGTGATGATGACGATGATGATGACGATGGCGATGATGATGGTGGCGATGATGATGAGTATGCTGATGCTGCTGCTGATGATGATGCTGCTGATGACGATGCTGCTGATGATGCTGATGCACATGATGCTGATGGCCATGAGGATGTCGATGGTGATGGTCATGGTGGTGGTGATGATGATGATGCGCATGCTGCTGCTGCTGATGATGATGATGATGATGCTGCTCATGAGGACGATGACGGTGAAGATGTTGAAGATGATGGTGATGGTGTGGTGATGCTTCTACTGCTGCTGTTGATGTTGATGATACTACTGCTGCTGCTGCTGCTGATGATGATGATGATGATGATGATGATGATGATGATGATGATGCTGATGATGATGATTATTGTGCTGCTGCTGCTGCTGCTGCTGATGATGATGATGATGATGATGATGATGATGATGATGATGATGATGATGTTGCTGCTGATGACTATGATGATGATGATTATGATGCTGATGGCGATTCTAATCATGACGACTATGGTGATTATCCATACATGTGGACATACACGTCGTGCCGTAAGCAGGCGTCGTGGGGCAGACGGTGGAATCACGCGATTTCGATTGGCCGCAATGGGTGAGTGACGTATGGAGCATGGCTGTGCGGCACTCGTTTCGGTGGTGGTGATGACGACGTTGACGATGCTGACAATGGTGATGACCGAGGATAAGGAAGGAACAATTCCGAGGAATGGGTGGTGGCGATTGCCCAGTTCGAGAAGACGAGAGAGGGGGACCAGGGACGTGAGGGTGTGGATCAAGTGACACGGGAGGATTGACGATTACGAGAAGGGGATTGGGAACATGCGCAGGGATGAAGGACGAGACGGCTGCGGCGTGGGATAGGCTGCCAGGTCGGGAGAAAGAGAGCAGGACAGCACAGCATGTGCAGTATGAGCTTCCCATGGGCTTAGCTTGGTCGTGGCGTCTTCTTGGGGGGTGTTCAGGGGCGAGGGGTGGGGGGTTGGGCTTGGGATGGGCGGGCGAAGAGCAGCGGCTGGCGGAACAGCCTCCAGGGAGCTGGCTCTGCGTCCTGCGTCTTGCAGCAGGCTGTGGAAGTCCACAGCCTTGTCGCGGTGTGCGTCCTGGTGGTCCGGGAGGGGGTGCGACGCTTCTTCTCTGATTTTTCTCATGCTGCCATGAGGAAGAGGAGGAGAGGGAGGCGGAGGAGGGCAATTTGAAGGATGCGGTGGACGAGGGACACAGTGAGGATCATTACGGGGAGGGGGGAGGAACGCATATCGAAATACGTGCATAAGCACGGTTTTCCAGAGTTCCGCGCGGATTTTTTGGATTTGTGCAGTACCCCAATGCGCGCGGACCGCGCTTGGGGCGCGTCGCCAGAGCGCCCCAGCGCACAGCCAAGACATCCGCGCGGACATCCGGAGGTTCCCTACACTGCCTGTGTGTGAGGATTGGGTCTGGAATCGGCACAGTCCACTCGCATAGTACGGATACGCAACTTTTCAAGGTTACCCTTGCGTCTTTCCCATTCGGCCCATCCTTGGCCGCTTTCGCTGACCGCGCCCCGCTCGCACAGTGTCGACGTGGCCTTTCAGGGTCCTTGCATCCTTATCGTACGTCCTTCTTATACATGGAAGGTGGGACAAGTGACTGCGGCCAACCCTTCCACTCTTTCCAGCCCTGGCCAGTTCCCCTCTATCCTTCCAGCCCTGGCGACCGCATCTCTGCTGTTTCGGGCTCGCTCCGCCCACTGCCAGTTCTCCCTGCCCTGGCCACTTCCACTTCTGCTGATTGTCCAGGTTCCACTTTCTCCAGCTTCTGTGCGGGATGACCGTGCGTGGATCTCCGGACCTGGAACCGGTCGGGCGTCGTGGTCTCCCGTGGCCTCCCGTGGCCTTCCGTGGTCTCCCGTGGTCTCCCGTGGCCTTCCCGGTGGGCCCCCATCGCACTTGCATCGGCAGTGATCGTAGCCGTACGGCTAGCACTGTTATTTATATGGGTGTCGAGACGCTTGCTGCGAGTCGCCGCCACCCCCTGCCGGTTAGGATGCGCCTGCGTGGCTAAACGTTTGGGCAACGTTTTGCACGCTGTTGGCCATGCGTTTCTCCAGCCGTCGTGGAAACCCGTCGGGGAACACGTAGTGGAGGAAGACGAGGATGAGGGGACTCAGGAACAACGAGGATGCCGACAAGGCTGAGGAGACCTCTTGGGAACCTCTTGGGTCATTCTTGGGGCTTCTTGGGAACCTCTTGGGTCATTCTGGGGGCCTGATGGGCCCCTCTTGGGGATCTCCTTCGGCATCTTGGGGGCCTTTGGGGGTTTGTTCGGGGCCGTTTGGGCAGTCTTGCGGCGTTCCTTGCCAATTTGACGCCGTCAGAAGCCGTCTTAGGAGCCCGTTTGGGCCGTACTGGGGCCCTCTTGGGACGCTTCAGCAGGGCAGTGTTTGGTGCCATCGTTGGCCGTCTTGGAAGTTTCTTGGGCCGTTGTGAGGCCCTTTGGGCCCGTTTGGGGCCGTCTCGGGGGCTTCTTCGGCGCTCTTGAGGCCGTGGTGATTATTGATTGATACCAGTTCAGACGCTCGCTAAACCGTTTGCCCGCAAGTGCCCTCTAACACTTCACAAAGGGCCAACAGGTGGACTACAGGGTCCCTGTGGAATATTGTTTGGGTTGCTTTAGTTTATGCTCGTTGATCTTATCCTGCTGCTCTGCTCCACCATTCAAGACATCCGCCCAGGCCTCCGAACACTTATGTTGCTGATGATGAGGACGACGACGATGTTGTTTGTTGTTGTTGTTGAGGATGGAGCTGATGATGGTGGTGATTGCGATGGTGATGCTGAAAGTGATGATGGTAAGCACGATGGCGATATTGACAACAACGACAATGATGATACTAATACTGATAATGCTAATAAAAATGATGATAGTAATGACGATGCTGACGCTGATGCTGATGCTGATGTTGACGATGTTGATCATGGTGGTGGTGGTGGTGTTGATGGTGATGGTGATGGTGATGTATATCATGATGGTGATGGTGAAGACTGTGGTGAATATGCTGCTGCTGATGATGATGATGCTGATGCTGATGCTGATTATGGTGATGATGCTGATGCTGATGATGAGGATCATGATGATGGTGATGGCGCTGATGATGATGGTGCTTCTGCTGATGCTGGTGATGATGATGCTCGCGATGATGCTGATGATTACGATGATTGTGTTGATGTTGATGAACAACCGGTATCGACGCCGATGGCGATGACGATGGCGATGACGATGATGATGGTGAGTATGATGATGCTGACGATGATGATGCTGATGATGAATATTATTATGCTGTGACTGCTGCTGCTGATGATGATGAGGATGATGATGATGATGATGATGATGATGACGAGGATGATGATGATGTTGATGATGATGATGATGATACTGATGATGCTGATGATGCTGATGCTGGCGCGGATGGTGATGGTGATTATGCTATTGATGATGCTGATGTTGGCGATGATGATGATGCTGAGGAGGAGGAGGAGGAGAAGGAGGAGGAGGCGGAATAGGAGGACGAGACGGAGAAGGACGAGGATGCTATTGAGGAGGACGATGAGGACGATGACGAGGACGAGGAGGAGGAGGAGGAGGAGTAAGAG